TATTGGGTCAATGAGTATATATATGTCTGTGTGAGTGAAAGTATATGTAAGCTTGCTTGTGTGTACCTTTCTGTCAGTGTTTGAGATCTCGTTCATCTATGTGTGTGTTAGGGGAGTTATAAAGGTGGTTTTGTGGGCTATTGCGTGTGTGTGTGTGTGTGAATGAGTGTGTCTGAGTGTGTCTGTGTATGTGAACAATTATCAGCCCTCTCATACCCAGTGCCCTCTTTTGTGTAACAGATATTTTGTAACACCCTTTTAGTGTCTGGAAATGAAGTTTTTAGATAATATAATCTCTCTGCATATGTTTTTTTTTTTAAGATGGAGTTTCACTCTTTTTGCCCAGGCTGGAGTGCAATGGTTCGATCTCGGCTCACTGCAACCTCCGCATCCCAGGTTCAAGTGATTCTCCTGCCTCAGCCTCCCGAGTAGCTGAGATTACAGATGCGTGCCACCACACCCAGCTAATTTTGTATTTTTAGTAGAGACAGCCTTTCACCATGTTGGCCAGGCTGGTCTTGAACTCCTGACCTCAGGTGGTCCACCTGCCTCGGCCTCCCAAAGTGCTGGGATTACTGGCATGAGCCACCATGCCCAGCCCTCTGCACATGTAATTTAAAAAGAAAATCCATATAGTGTTTTATACAATATCCATTTTGTATTAACTATAGTACAAATAAGAAATAAAAGGAAAATTATTTATAAGAAAACAATTTGTATTTCAATATGTAAATGCTTGGGCATGATACTCCCCAGGAGATTCAAGGAAGTAATTAGAGGCTCCCAATGTCTTATACTGGGTAATATGGATTTAGGAGAAGGGGACCCATCAAAGGCAGGATGTGCAGGAAAATGACAGGCACAGGCCTTAGGGGTGAGATTTTCTGAAATGGTCAACAACTCTGAGGAAAGCTCATCCCAAACCAAAGTACAGCCTCCTCTTTACTTACATGACAGCCATGTTCCTGGATAATTCGGGGTATGTTAAAAATCAAGAGGAAAAACATGGTTTTTATCTGTGAAATAGTTAGATTCTAGGTTCACTTACCTAAAAGTCCAAAGTCCTAGAGGATGCAGGACATGTTGGCTGCGTGGGACTGTTCCCCATGTCACTGGACGGCCAACATCCTCCCCCTGGCCCCTAAATGTCGGAAGGACACCGTAAACCCCAGCATTGTGGCCGTCAAAAATGTTCCTACACAAGTTTCCAAAATGTCCCCTAGAGGGCAGTAACGTCTTTGTTGAGGACGAAGCACGGGCGCTTGGAGAAGGTACACTGTATACCTGTGTGAAAGCGGCAGAGTACTAGATGTACCTCCGCCTCCGTGTGCGTGTGTGCCTATGTGTGTGTGCGCGCGCGCAAGCGTGTGTGCGTACGTGTGTGTGTTACATTCGTGCGCACGCGTTCCTCATGCAAGAGCGGGTTGCTATCCACGGGTGTCCACAGCAGTAGACCGTTTGTGGGGGTAGGGGGGTGTGCAGGTGTCCGAGCTCGAGCAGGTGTGCGTGTGTTCTGTGTTCACACGCGTCCTGAGTCTCAGCTGGGCCCTAGCTGAGGCTGCCAGTCTGCCAAGGAGAACCCACTCCTCACTTGTTTGTTAAATCTCTCGAGCTTTCCCCGAGCCACGAGGGTTTTGTTTTTTTGCTGCTATTGTTTGGGGGAATGTGGGAATTTTTGTTTTATCTTTAGCTGTTTTCACTGAGACTCAGGGCTACACATTCTCCACCTTCTCGGTCTTAGTGTAGCTCTCCGTGTCTCCCTCTCTGTCTCCATCTTTATTTCTGTCTCTGTCTCTCTCCAGCTCCCCTCTCTTACCTCTGCCCCAGCTCACCCCGTCTCTATTTTTCTTTCTTTCCTGGCATTAGCCCCCTCCCTCTGTCTCTCCCTGCTCTCCTTTTCTCTCTCTTGCGCTCTCTCTGTCTCTATTTCTGGCGTGCTGGTTTCTGTGTGTGTCTCTGCCTCTTTTTTCTCACTCTCATTTTCACCCTTCCTTCACTTTCTCTCTCTCTCTCTTCCTCTCTGTGTGTAAGGCTCTCTCCCCTTTCTCGGGTTGTCTCTCTGTCTTTCTCCCTCCTATGTCTCCGTCTCTGTCACACACACCTCTCTCTCCTTCTCTCTCTCTCTTGCCTCTCTCTTACATTCAGTCTCTCTGTCTCTATCCCTTTCCCCCTGCCTCCGCTCAAGGTAAAGGAGAGAGAGAGAGAGAGAGAGAGAGAGAGAGAGAGAGAGAGAGAGAGTTGTCTGTCACCCGCAGGCTGTCTCACAGTTCTGAGATTTCAGGGTGCCATCAAAAAGTCTGGCTCAGGTGCAGTGGCTCATGCCTGTAATCCCAACAATTTGGGAGGCCGAGGCAGTCAAATCATTTGAGGTTACAAGTTGGAGACCAGCCTGGCCAACATGACAAAACCTCATCTCTACTAAAAAGCAGCCGGGCATGGTGGCACATGTGCCTGTAATCCCAGCTAGCTGGAAGGCTGAAGCATGAGAATCACTTGAATCCAGAAGACGGAGGTTGCAGTGAGCTGAGACTGTGCCACTGCACTTCAGCCTGGGCGACAGAGCGAGACTCTATTTTAAAAAAAACAAACAAGCAAAAAGAGCCGAGTCCTAGGTGGCTGTGGCAGGCCAGGCTGGATTGAGCTGGAAAACCGTGCAGAGGGGAGATTTTTCCTGGGAGGGAAGGAGTAGGAAGATATCCACTCAAGTTCCACCCCACAATCCCAGCCCAGCCCCAGCTCCAACAATCATCCTGAGTTTCCCCAGTTTCTGCCCGGTTGCCTCACCGCCTTCCCTCTGGGACCTACACTGTTACCTCCACACATCCCCACACTCCCGGGGCTTTCCTCTTTCCCTTCAGCTTTGCTTCGCTGCTCTCACCGCCAGATACACTCCCCAGGCTGCTCTTGCAGGGAATCCTGCCTGGTTGTCTCCAGGGCGCCCTCTCTGACCCACAGCCCCAGCCCATTTGATCCCTCAATCAATTCATTTGATAGATTGTCACTGAGAGCCTACCATGATGTGCTATGTAGTGTTCTTTCAGAGGAGAGTCCGTGAGTCTGTAACTCCTGCCCTTGTGGAATTTTCATTCTGATAGGATGAGGCAGGCAATAAACCAAAATTTAAAAGTAAATTATATAGTGTGTTAGAAGAGAGAAATTATAGGAAGCAAAATAGGGAGAGAGGGATGGGGCGGCATTATCTGTCACCTGGATTGCTGCAGGTGACAGATAATGATTCTAGGTTCACTTACCTAAAAGTCCAAAGCTCTAGAGGATGCAGGACATGTTGGCTATATGGGACTGTCCCCCATATCACTGGATAGCCAACATCCTCCCCCTGACTCCTAAATGTCAGAAGGACACCCTACACCCCAGCATTGTGGCCATCAAAAATGCTCCTATACAAATTTCCAAAATGTCCCCTAGAGGGGCCTCTGAGTAGTCTCCCTACTTCTACCTGCACCCCACATGACCTCTGCTCTTCACAACGGCAGGTGGGATTCTGTTCCATCCTACTTCATACCACATCTAGCCGCTGCTCAGAATCTTCCCATGATTCCCATCTCATTCAGAGGAAAAAGCCCTCACCATAGCCTCCTTGATCTGGCCTCACCACCTTTCTGACCTCACCTCCCACCATGCTCCCCTGACTCACTGTGTTCCACCCACGGTGGCCTGCTTGCTCTTCCTCAAACATGCCATGTAGAGTCCCACCTCGTCGGGGCCTTTGCTCTGGCTGTTCCCCCTGCCTGGACTTCTCTTCCCCCAGATATCCACATGACTCACTCTCTCACCTCCCTTAGGTCTTTGCTCAGATGACACCGCCTTCGTGAAGCCTCCCCTGTCCACCTCATCTAAAACGCAGCACCGTCCCCACCCCTAGCACTTCCTATCTTCCTTCCCTCCTTTATGTTTATTCTTAGGAACTTGTCATCGTCTGACATACTGTACTTCACCCGTGTCTCTTTTTTATTGTCCAGAATGTTGGTTTCACAAGGGCCGGGATCTTTATCTGTCTAGTTTACAGCTGTATCCCCCATACCTAGAAAAGTGCCTGGCACATAGTAGATGCTTGATAAATATTTTTTCAGTATATGAATGAATATGCACTTTATATTCACATATACTTGCCTCCTCACCTAAAATAAAAATCAAAGTCCTCATGGTGGCCCACAGCCCTACACAATCTGGCCCCAAGACACCTGTGCGACCTCACCTCCCACCACTGTCTCCCTTGCTCTCACTGTCCTGCCGCACTCGTCTTCCTGCCATTCCTCGAGCATACTAAACACATTCCTGATCAGGAATAAAGAAATCAATTAAATGAGTAGTACCAGCATTTTAAGAACCCATGAAATAGAATAAAAACAAATGGGGTACGTTGCATACAGGATCAGTATTGTTTTGTGAAACTTTTGGTTGAGCTGTTTGTGTGTGCGTGCATGTATGTGGAGTGGGTTGGGATGTAAAATGTATTTTTTGACTATGGGTGGCAGTAGAAAAAGTCTGAACACAACCTTAGCGCTTTGGAAAGGGGGAGAAGAGCCGCACCAACATCCCCGCCCCACAGACCCACCATTGGAGGAAACAGGTAACCAAGGACATCTAGAGAAATGCAGCATCCTCACCCACCAACAAGGAGTGGGTAGGAGCAGGAGTGGTCCAGGGGCAGGGCCTGGCACCAGCCAGGGCGTAAGTGGGGAGGGCTCGTTGATACACTAACCCTGCCCTTTCTGTTTCTTCCTCTTTTTTCCATCTGTTTCTCACGGTCTCTCTCCTGTCTGTTTGTCTGTCTCTCTCTCCTCTCTTTCTCCTCACTCTTTCTCATCCCCTCCGTTTCTGTGTCAATCTCTATCCATTTATTTTTGTCACCTCTTTGTTCTCTCTCTCTGCCACTTTGTCTCTGCACACCTGTGTGTTTTTCTCCCTCTCTGTCTCTCTCCTGCACTCATCTCTCTGTCTCTCTGTGTCTGTGTCTCCCCCCTCATCCCCATTTGCAGGTGCAGTGTAGCAGGACAACTCATGGAGCCCCCCCGGGCCCATCGAGTACTAGACTGGCTGATCCCATAGGGTTGGCAGTAGGCCTTGGCCCTCAGTATGGCCAACACCACTGGAGAGCCTGAGGAGGTGAGCGGTGCTCTGTCCCCGCCATCCGCATCGGCTTACGTGAAGCTGGTACTGCTAGGACTGATTATGTGTGTCAGCCTGGCGGGCAACGCCATCTTGTCCCTGCTGGTGCTCAAGGAGCGTGCCCTGCACAAGGCTCCTTACTACTTTCTGCTGGACCTGTGCCTGGCCGATGGCATACGCTCTGCCGTCTGCTTCCCTTTTGTGCTGGCTTCTGTGCGCCACGGCTCTTCGTGGACCTTCAGTGCACTCAGCTGCAAGATTGTGGCCTTTATGGCTGTGCTCTTTTGCTTCCATGCGGCCTTCATGCTGTTCTGCATCAGCGTCACCCGCTACATGGCCATCGCCCACCACCGCTTCTACGCCAAGCGCATGACACTCTGGACATGCGCAGCTGTCATCTGCATGGCCTGGACCCTGTCTGTGGCCATGGCCTTCCCACCTGTCTTCGACGTGGGCACCTACAAGTTTATTCGGGAGGAGGACCAGTGCATCTTTGAGCATCGCTACTTCAAGGCCAATGACACGCTGGGCTTCATGCTTATGTTGGCTGTGCTCATGGCAGCTACACATGCTGTCTATGGCAAGCTGCTCCTCTTCGAGTATCGTCACCGCAAGATGAAGCCAGTGCAGATGGTGCCAGCCATTAGCCAGAACTGGACATTCCATGGTCCCGGGGCCACCGGCCAGGCTGCTGCCAACTGGATCGCTGGCTTTGGCCGTGGGCCCATGCCACCAACCCTGCTGGGTATCCGGCAGAATGGGCATGCAGCCAGCCGGCGGCTGCTGGGCATGGACGAGGTCAAGGGTGAAAAGCAGCTGGGCCGCATGTTCTACGCGATCACACTGCTCTTTCTGCTCCTCTGGTCACCTTACATCGTGGCCTGCTACTGGCGAGTGTTTGTGAAAGCCTGTGCCGTGCCCCACCGCTACCTGGCCACTGCTGTTTGGATGAGCTTCGCCCAAGCTGCCGTCAACCCGATTGTCTGCTTCCTGCTCAACAAGGACCTCAAGAAGTGCCTGAGGACTCATGCCCCCTGCTGGAGCACAGGAGGTGCCCCAGCTCCCAGAGAACCCTACTGTGTCATGTGAAGCAGGCTGGTAGGCAGACAGGCAGAGAGAAGGTCATGGCCACCATGATGGGGCCCAACAGCAAGGAGGGGTAGGGGCCCACATGGGAGCCCTCCTTTCTGAGCTCCAGCCCCAGCCCCTGACACCACCTGTAGAATCTGGGCACCTTTGCCAACACCTCCCAAGGATGGAGGACTGGGTGAGGGACTGGGAAAGAGGCATATTTAGTTTTGTGGGGCCTGTCTCCACTGACTCCTTCTCCACTTCTACAATCTCATTCTCTCTCTCTCTCTCTCTCTCAGAAGTGACAATTCAGAAAAAGAAAGGAAAACTGAGAATGCAGGTTTTTCTACTAGCAGTTGAGGAGACAGGCTTTCTTACTTTAATGTCTCTCCTTCTGACACTGTCCAGAAGGGGGAAATTTGTCCTGTAAAATAGACTTCCAGAGCTCTTATTGCCCCCTCTGCTCCCATGCACCCTCCCTTCCAAGTCCTTTAGCAAGGCCTAGATGTTTAGGGAGAAAGTGGTCCAAGGCTGCTGACAAGATGGACCAAAGCGGGTGCTGGCTTCCCAGGGAGCAGGGATGTTTAATTGCTATGTCGTGTGCAATGTTGTTTTAGGCCAACCCTGGCCACCGGCCCAGTTTTCTCCCCCTCCCCACCATGTCCAGACGTCCCAAATGGTTCTTGTGCATCTGTTGGAGAAGCCAGGGGAGTAGGGAGAAGGGACCCAAGGATGGCCCCAGGTTAGGTGAAGAGTAGGATGTGAGCTGAACTCTTTGAGCTGAAGAGAATGGTCACACTTGGTCACATTCTCTCATGCTGGTCACATTCTCTCACGCTGCCTTCAGGATCCCCAGCCCCCAACTCTTCTTCCTGAGGATGGAAATCCACTCCAGCCCCACTAGGACTGACGTGGGTGCCACACAGGCAGGAGCAGCCCCCCCAGGGAAGTGTAGGGAAGGAGCTGAATTCCCCAGAGTAGCTGGACCACAGAGACGGCTCAGAGCCGAATTCAACCCCAGAATTGTCTCTTGGGCTTACCCTACTCTTCTGAAGATGAAAATTTGTTTGGGGCCTTGGTGACCAATAGTGATACGAACTCCAAGGCACTGTGGACTTGAGTCCATTCCTATCTGACCTCTTTTTATCCCCCTCAAGCCTCAGGGGCCTCAAGCCCCTCCTTAGTAACCCTTGGCCTACTGGGCCCTGAGCCCCAAACATACTTCTTCCCAACAACCCTCCTTCCCCTTCCTTCCGCCACCCTTACCTACACCCAAAGTGGAGCAGACTGCAGCCAGATTCTCCGGGCGGGAGATCCAAGCCTCCCTCCCTGGGGTGGAGTCCATTTTGGGCTTACTTCGAGGCCTGTTCTGTGGATTGGTGAGCCAAGCTGGCACTCTTTGACCTGGTCTTACCCAGGCTCTCTGCCCCCCTCTCACTTTCCGTGGGGCCGGAATCTGTATTTATCCACCCCTCTTTCCCTTCTTTATAGAAGTCCCTGTCCTAAACTCCCTCCCTACCCCAAGAGAGTCCCAGAACTGGGGAAGCCTGGTCCATACAGAATGTGGAGGGCACTCTAGGCAGGAGAGACATTAATGAGCCTGGCAGCAGAGTGACCCTGGAAAGGCAGGCCAGAGTGGCTGAGAGGCCAGGAGTGGGGGAGCCTGTTCTCTCAGCGATAGTGATGGGGGTGCCTTTCCAAGGGGGTGGGGTGGGAAGACCAAGGGGGTGGGGGGTAAATAGGGTACATTCAGGAGGGTTTTCCTCCATTTCTTTTTTCTAACTGCCTGGATTCACCATTGGATTTTGTAAATGGAAAAACTGAAATGAACAATGCTATATTGGATGTTTTCTCTTTCTGTGTGTGTGTGTGTGTGTGTGTGTGTGTGTGTGTGTGTGTTTTCTGTCTGTGTGCATGCGTCCTGTGTGACCACAGGTGGAGAGACATGATTGAGTGACACTGTATGTTTGTGTGACTTTGTGTGGGGAGGCACTCCTGAGGAAAACTTGCCTGGTACACACATGTAGGCAAATGCCTGTATGTGGGGACATATACAGCATGTGCATGCACACACACAAACAAAACACATCACACACAGTTGAGGAGACAAACTAGAGTATGTGCCCGTGGTAGGAAGTAGAGTGGTCAAGAGATGGATCTTAAAAACCATACATAGGTAGGTAGTAAGAGGGTCGACTCCCATCTCACAAGTTGGGCCTCCATTGGCCCAGGCTCTGAGCACGGGAGGGCTGGGGCCAGGGTACTTGAGAACCTCATCTCCTCACAAGCCTGTAGCCCCATCTCAGCTCTGTTTCAGTCTCCTTTCCAAACTCAAACAAGGTGTTCCTAAAATTGGATCACCATGGAGAATGGGGACTGGAAATTGGAGATGAAATGTGAGGGAAACTGATGCAGTTAGGAAATGCCCCCAACCAAGTAATGGCTTCTGGAGGGACTGCTCCGTCTGGGGTGGGAGCCCTTCCTAGGGGCCACTTATGCAGCTAGGACTTTGGTCATCTTTGACCAAATTTACAGGTACGGATGTCACGGGGGAAAAAACCATGCCCGGAAATCTACCCAGCCAGCCTGCTCCCTAGACACTCAGTTAATTTACTACCTATTTAATCTCTCAGGTGCACAGAATTGAGTTGACCATACTCCTCAGTTCTTGGCACACTGTGTCATCATTAGTCCATGTGAGACCCTTTTATTCTTTGTTTCTTTCAGTTTTGTCCCCTTCATCACCCATTCCTGATCCCATCCTCCCCGCCCCCTACATAGGCACCCACTCTCGTGTATTTAACATATGTCCTTCCAATCCACCGTTCATGTGTTTATTTACATATATGTGTATCTGTGAAAAATATATGGTATTGCTGTGTGTTTTAATTTACATAAACAGTATTGTACTATAAATCTTGTTCTGTTTCTTTTTTCACTCAACATCTGTCTTTGAGAGATCCAGCCATGTTGCCGTATATAGATCTAATTCATTCTAGTGGTCCATCTTAAACATATATCACATTTTTCTTACCCATTCCCCTGATGATGGATCCCTAGGTCTCCTCCTTTTCTCTGCTCCGCGACAAGGCTACAATGGGAAGTTACCTACACCTTTCTTTAGGGATGCTTAATTTAAGGGAGAGAAAACTGAAGCTCAGAGAGGGGCAGTGATTCGGTTAAGGTTACAAAATGAGGGGCACACTCATAATGTGAATCCCAGCATCAAAGCTAGCCCTCCACCACCATGCCTCACTAAAGACCATCTACCTCTGGTTTAAAAAGAAAAATCTGAAAATACCGCATACACTGGGGAAAGGGAGAGGAAAGGATGGAAAGGGGCAGAAATGAAGAGATAGAAAGTGCTAGAAAATTCTAGCAGATGAGCTGAATCACAATCACTTTTATGACGCAGAGGAAGTTACTTTTTTGTGTGTGTGATTATTATTTCTAGAGCCATTCTGCAGAGATGGAAAACGCCACGTCAAAACCTGGCCCCCAAACCAAACACCCTGGGTGCCTAAATTGCAGGCGCGGGCGGTAGGGCAGCCCGAGCCCCGAGGAGCGACAGCAGAGTTCACCCAAAGGGCAGACGCGGGGGTTGGGGGAACAGGCAGAAGCGGTGGGGCGGGGGGAGGGCGGCGGGGTGGGGAAAGAGGCAGAAGCGGTGGGGCGGGGGGGGAGGTGGGGGAAGAGGCAGAAGGGGGGGCGGGGGAAGAGGCAGAAGCGGTGGGGCGGGGGGGTGAGGGAAGGGGCAGAAGTCAGGGTATGTGGAAGGGACAGAAGCGGGGGTCCTGGGGTGAGGGAAAGGGAAGTGGGGGGGATGGAGGAAGGGGCAGAAGCGGGGGGTGGGGGTGAGGGAAGGGGCAGAAGTGGGGGGATGCAGGTCAGAAATGGGGAATGGGGAAGGGGCAGAAGCGGGGGATGGGGGAAGGGGCAGAAAGGAGGGATGGGAAACGGGAGAAGCGGGGGTGGGGGAAGGGGCAGAAGCGGGGAGTTGGGGAAGGAGCTGAAGGAAATGGGGGAAGGGGCCGCTTTTAAAAGTGCGTAGTTGCTGAGGGGAGGGGGGCGGGGGAAATGATAACGAGGCTCTCCCAATTTCGTGTGAGCACATCCTGCTCAGCGCCTGCGTTTGTTTTTCGTCTGGTTTTTTTCGTCTTCAGAACCACTGGTACTTTTCCCATTGGATAAAACGCTGAAAGGGTGAGGGACAGGGGCTTCTTCCCGAGCTTTGTCGCAGCCAATCGCCCTGCAGTTTCGCTCCCGTCGCTGAGGGAATTAGCCCCTTGATTGGCGGGCCCGAGGGCAGCCAATTGGAAACTGATGATGTGTGGTGTTGGCAAGCTGATTGCGTGAAACCGGGCAGGGGTCGCGGGTGCGCGAGCGCCGCCGCGGCGGCCGGCAGCCAATGACAAGGCCGAGCGGACCCTTGCGTCAGGAGGGGGCGGGGTTTCAGCGATTGGCGCGGAGGGAGTAGAGCGGGCGCTGTGGGAGGGAACGCCAGAGCGAGACGGTGAGGGGAGCTGGCTGCGTGAGTCCTCGCAGCTCTGCTTCCCGGTGCGACTCGCTGCGGCGACGCGGCTGAGAGCGAAGGGGCAAGTGCTAGTCCCCTGAGCTGTACGAGCGCGGTCGCCATGGACCGCCCAGACGAGGGGCCTCCGGCCAAGACCCGCCGCCTGAGCAGCTCCGAGCCTCCGGAGCGCGACCAGCCCCCGCCGCCGCCGCCGCCGCCGCCGCCGCTCCTCCGACTCCCCCTGCCTCCACCCGAGCAGCGCCCGAGGCCCCAGGAGGAAACGGAGGCAGCACAGGTGCTGGCCGATATGAGGGGGTTGGGACTGGGCCCCGCGCTGCCCCCGCCACCTCCCTATGTCATTCTCGAGGAGGGAGGGATCCGCGCATACTACGCGCTCGGTGCCGAGTGTCCCGGCTGGGATTCTACCATCGAGTCAGGGTACGGGGAGGCGCCCCCGCCCACAGAGAGCCTGGAAGTGCTCCCCAGTCCTGAGGTCCCCGGGGGGAGCGTGGAAATTGATTTTCAGGTTGTGGAGTCCAGCAGTTTTGGTGAAGAGGGGGCCCTAGAAACCTGTAGCGCAGTGGGGTGGGGGGCCCAGAGATTAATTGACCCAAAGAGCAAGGAAGAAGCGATCATCATAGTGGAAGATGACGATGAGGATGAGCAGGAGAGTAAGAGGAGCAGCAGGAGGCGGCGGCGGCGGAGGAGGAGGAGGAAGCAGAGGAAGGTGAAGAGAGAAGGCATAGAGAGAGATGCTGAGAGGATGGAGAGCATCCTGCAGGCACTGGAGGATGTTCAGCTGGACCTGGAGGCGGTGAACATCAAGGCAGGCAAGGCCTTCCTGCGTCTCAAGCGCAAGTTCATCCAGATGCGAAGACCCTTCCTGGAGCGCAGAGACCTCATCATCCAGCACATCCCTGGCTTCTGGGTCAAAGCAGTATCCTTCTCTTCTATACTCAAGGGCCAGATAACCATGGCAGGGAAGGGGAAGGTGGGGGAGGGACAGAAAAGGTAAAGTGGGTGGAGGAGAGCTAGAGATGGGCGTGAGCCCCCTGTCGGAAGACAGACTAGACTGGGTGGAAGAGGGATGGAAGGAGGGCAAAACAGCAGAGGAGCTGCACTGGAGATGACGAAGGGGCGGGCATAAAAACTGGAACACAGATAGGAAAGGGGGAAGAGGAGGAACATAGCATTAAAAAAAGGATCACAGATGATAAAAGAGGGGGGTAGTAAACGGACATGTAGCAGAAAAATTGGACCAGAGATGGTGAAAGGAGGAGGGGAGGATCACGTAGAAGATGAACTGACTCAGAGACCTTGAAGAGGGGGAGGGGAAAGGCACACAGCAGAGTAACTGCCTAGAAAGGGTGCCTGAGCCATACAAGGCTCTCTAAACCTAGCTCTTTGCTTAGGATACTGAGACCCCAATCTTGGCTGGAGTGCGTTTCATTGGAGGGAAAGGGGCTAGAGAGGGGCTGGAGCCCCTGAAGGGTCGGGAGAGGGAGTGTCTAGGTATGACAAAAAGGAGTTAAATGAAGGATAGGGAAGAGTAGATGGGGGATACATATATATATATATATATACACACACACACAACATGTTAGGACCATGAGTTTAACATCTTAGTAGAATTATGTGGATACAGACCCTTAGCACCCTCATACAAAACAGCACATAGAGGCCCTTAGCACCCAGGCATACGATATTATCTAGACATAGGATTTTAGCTCCTAGACACAGTATCATATGACCACAGGTCCTCAGCATGTAGACAAAGGGCATCACTTGACCACAAGCCATTCACACGTGTGGACATGGACCTTCATCACCCATACATAAAACACCATGTGACCACAGGCCCTCAGCAATCAGATACAGCATCACTTGGACATGGGCCTTCAGCACCCAGTGACATATACCACATGGACACAGACTCAGCATCCTGCAGGGCCACCTAACAGAGGTTTATCATGGGAATAAGTATGGGTTATGTCCCATGACTCACCTGTTTCATACAAACCACATGAACATAAAAGGAATCCTGCTCCAGCCTCTCTTACTGTGCCCTCCCTGGCCTTTCCTCCCCCCCCCTTTCACTGGATAGTCAATCCTTGACCTAAACTGCTCCACTCATCAGTTCCTCAACCACCCCAGAATTTCAATTTTGATCAACCGACGTGATGAAGACATTTTCCGCTACTTGACCAATCTGCAGGTCAGGCCAGAGAGATATTTTTTAGTAGGATCGGGCAACGAATCTGGTTCTTGGAGGTGAGGGGAGGTGGGTGGGAAGGGCCATGGTGTGTGGGGGGAGACAGATTCCACCATCACCCCCACCTGGAGCAGGTACAGGATCTCAGACATATCTCCATGGGCTACAAAATGAAGCTGTACTTCCAGACAAACCCCTACTTCACAAACATGGTGATTGTCAAGGAGTTCCAGCGCAACCGCTCAGGTAAGAAGCAGCCCCAGCGTAAATCCATGTTCCCTCCCACCCAATCTGTCCTTGTTCTGTCCCATCTCTATAGTCTCCTCTCTCCCTAGGCCGACTGGTGTCTCACTCAACCCCAATTCGCTGGCACCGTGGCCAGGAACCCCAGGCCCGCCGTCATGGGAACCAGGATGCGAGCCACAGCTTCTTCAGCTGGTTCTCAAACCACAGCCTCCCAGAGGCTGACAGGATTGCTGAGGTGGGCCCCTTCCTGGCATCACCAGAGAAGGCCTTACTAGGCTTGTTGCTGGGTGTGTGGGGAATTAAGAGTAGGATCTGGGGCTTGTACTCATGGTGCTCTTATCCCTTCTCTCCTCTTTTCAACAGATTATCAAGAATGATCTGTGGGTTAACCCTCTACGCTACTACCTGAGAGAAAGGGGCTCCAGGACAAAGAGAAAGAGGCAAGAAATGAAGAAACGGTAATGGGGGTTTGGTGGCTGAGAAGGGGTTTGTTGGGGATGGGGCAAAGACTAGTGTAACACAGGATTTATAGAGCCAAAAGGGACCTTCGAGATAGTCCCAGTGGAATATTGTTTTAGAAGTGGGGAATCATGCCCAGAAATGGCCTGAGGTTACACAGTCAGGGGCAGAAATGGGACTTTATCCACCCAAGCCCCATCCCTGGGATCCCTTAAAGCCTACTGCTTCTCCAGTTACTTTCCACCTTTGAGTGCTATGAGTACACCCCTTCCCACCAACCCCATACTCAGCCCCAGCTTTCCCTACAGTAGAACCAAGGACAGATGTGAGGTGGTGATCATGGAAGACGCCCCCGACTATTATGCAGTGGAAGACATTTTCAGCGACATCTCAGACATTGATGAGACAATTCATGACATCAAAATCTCTGACTTCATGGAGACCACCGACTACTTTGAGACCACTGACAACGAGATAACTGACATC